GTATACCTACAACGTACTAATAAAAGAATTTAATACAAAAAAAAAAAAAAAGAAATGGACGCGCTAAACACAACACAGAAGTAATTGCTGTAGCAGGATCTTGGGGAAGAAAGTGGACGACAGGCTCAGCGATTCGCCTCGGGGGCGCGATTTAAACGATCGAGCCTCACAGCTTTTATCGCGTTTACCGTATTACTTTGCAGTGAGTGATGGTAAATAGTGCCTTCACCTCACCGAACTGTTGGTCTGTCCCAGACGCGATTCCAGCAGTGTGCGTGCATCAGCTGGCTTAATTTGGAAACCAGCTCCCGAGATTCGACTTCGTGGCTTCTTGCTTGGCGGCTGAGTCTCTCTTCTCCCCAAGTGCAGGCACCGCAGAAGCCTGTGTGCTGGGACAGAGTTTTCTGCAGGCGCTAGTGGGTAGAAAAGGTCGTGTCATTTGCAAAGGGAGCGGATGGTGTTGGCAAAAAGGAAGAGAGACAGGAACAGGATGAAAGCGCAGAGGCCTCAGGCCGGGTCTCGTGGGTCTTCCTGCACACTAGAGTGAACAGGAGAGCGCTTTTTGACAAGGGCCCGGATAGCTCAGTCGGTAGAGCATCAGACTTTTAATCTGAGGGTCCAGGGTTCAAGTCCCTGTTCGGGCGTAAAGCTTTTTAGAATATACACTTTTTGACTCTACGTTTGAAAGTCAGAAACTATGTCATTTTACACCGAATACACGCGAATCCAAACCTTTTTGGGCCGCGTGGGCAAAGAAGTTAGCTAGAGGAAGTAAGGTGCACAGTGAGACCTCGGGTCGGGATCCCCCCAAATTTGTTAAAAAAACGAACCTGCCAGGAGAGCCTTAAGGCGTGGACCGATGTCAGAACCACCCATTAATGCCACTTAACTGAAAGAGATGGATCCACGCAACGAAGCCAGAGTGGAGTTCCACGCTCTTCGTGAGGATGAGCTTAGACCGTGGGGTGAAGAGGTGACCGGCCCAGGCAGCCTGGCGGCCTTCTGGACACGCGCGCTCGCGGCCGGGGGCGGACCCCGCTGGGCGTGCGAGCCCGCGCTGGCCGAGGGCCCTGCCCCGCCGCGCGGACTCCGGAGTCGCCCGAGGCCACTGGAGAAAGAGCGAGCGCGGGTGGCAGGAAAGCGGTACTACTGAGCGAATTGCTGGTCCTGTGGAGAACCCTGCCCGGCAGGTCGGGGCGGACGAGAGACAGACAGCAAAGGAACCAGACACTCGGCGGACACAGCGACAGATCCTGCGCGGGACGCAGAGCGGGCGCGCGTGGGAGGTGTGGGGCTCCGCCGCCCACGGCCTTGTCCTGCCTCGCCGGACTCCACCGCAAGACATCGCTGCCAGTGAAGCCGCACCCGAGGCTTCCGGAAGCCCAGCGCGTTTCTCAGCGAGGCTGGACAGACGAGGACCCGACCCTTAAGGAGGCGCGGCCTTCCGGCGGCTTCCTGCGTGCGCGGGGCACTGCACACCTCGTCTTCCTTGAGTTGCAGGGTAGGTTGCTGTTCCAAGGAGGGAGTTAAACCAGAGCGACTTGGACAAAACTGTGTTTATTGGGCAGAGAAGATGAGTGTCAAGGACAATTGAAGGACACCCGTAAGAACTTGTAAAGCTAAAACTAGGCGGAAGAAAATAGAGATCACGTAAGTGCAGGGTAACAGGCGTGTAATATACACGTAGCGTTAACTGAAGTTTCACCGGCAAAACTAGACTGCCCCCTCTGAGGTTCGAACTCAGGACCTTCAGATTATGAGACTGACGCGCTGCCTACTGCGCTAAGGAGGCAGGTATTAAGAATTTCTCATTATGGATTTTTAGCATCGGATGTTACTCTGCTGCAATGTGGGTTTCCACTCCCATCTCCTTCATTTTAAACTTCTAAAAAGAGAAGCTTCTTCTGGAACTTAGTGAAAGCTTGACAACTCTCCTCGATCTCCGCCCGCGCTCCCAGCGGTGAACAGGACCGCGGTGGGGGTCGGGGTTGGGGTGGGTGAGGCGTGGCTTAGGGTGCGGTAGGGTCCGGGGTCCCAGGCGCCGGATGCCGTCGTGGGTCCCGCAGTCCTGGGCTCCGAGGGGGCAGCAGGCGGCGCACCTCCTCGCCCTCTCCTCTTGGGGCTCAGGCAGCGCCCCAGCCCCCGCCTTCAGGGAAGCGTCTCCTCGACGACGGGAAAGGCTGCGGGAATCACCAAGAACCTCCTGATCCCCCTGCCCGCCCGCGGGCCCCAGGAGAGCGATCTGAGCTCGTGCGAGTGGAAACGGCTCAGGCCGTCCGGCGCCGGCCAGTTTCTGTCACTGCTGCCCCTGACCACGGACGTGTCCTCCGCGGCTTTCGGTCTGAAGTACAGAAAACAGAAAAAGGAAACCCCAGCCCATGTTTGGGCCCCGCCGGCAGGACACAGGACCCTGCTCCTTACAAGGCATCCAGTGATGTAGCAAGTGGGGGCGACAGGAAGAGCGCCCCCCCGCCCCGTTCTTACATCCTTGAATTTGGAACATGGCCTTGAAAGTCGTCTTCCTAGTTTGTACGAACATTTAATGAAAGCATAAGAAACCGAAAATGGTTATTAAGATGTTGTTTAAATTTAGTATAGACCTCGCTCATCTGCACATTTCGCAGACAGTGCAAATATAAATCTTGGCAAAGTCTATTCAAACTGTAAATTTCTTACCACAGAAAATGAACAGAAAAGAAAAGCTGCCTGTGCTAAGAGCCCTGGCTCTTCACTTGGCCCGCGGATATCCGGAGGGAGGGTCACTAAGCACAGGGCAAAAGCTTGGCATCTGTCTTCATATTCAGTCTTCTTTTCTTCCTACACTTGGGGCCCGACTCCCACTCAGTTCTGCAGGTAGACACGGTGATCATCAGAGGAGTTTGCTGTTGGCCCCATGTTTGCCTAATCTTCTGCCTCCCCTCTCCAGATTGAAGACCCCCAGGTAAGGGCAACTGAGCTGTTTTCAGGGCATACAGGGACATCATAATCACCAGATTGTCACCCACCAGTGTCTCTACTTCCTGATCCAGACCACATTAACACCATCTAGAAGTCTCCAGTTTTCAGGAGATAGGTAAAACTCAGCAGGCCTGCGGGACAAAGAGGATCCCAGCAACAAGGAGTGCCAGTCACAGGTAAACCAAGACCTCGGTGTATACTCCATTTATATCACCTATTAGGTCTCAGATCAAAAAATATATCCTTTCATGGCACAATGCCATCTTAGCTCAGGTGTGCAAAGCTGTACTCCACGGTTGCCTGAAGCTCAGGGTCATTTATTCTTAAACAGGACATTTGGCATTTCTGAGTCCCATGGCCCACTGATTAAAGAAAAAAAAAAAGGAATAAAAGTAACATTTTAAGATCTGCCCACACTGGGCCAAGACCCTAACCCAGGAACATGTCCAGGAACAAGATCGTCTCTAAAGTACCCAACTGATGAGCCCTGATGCCAAGCAGACCCTGGGGAAATTTCACCAGACCTTGCACAAATAACCTACATCAGGGTTATTTTTTTTCCTTAGCTTACTGACATTTGAAAGGACTGAAAAGAGGATTGGTTGGGCCTGAAAAGGTCGACTGTCCTAACAAAAATCATATAAATAAGGTTTAAACATAATTTTCAGTCGCTGTCTTGGATCCTTAGGGTGTGTTTTACCTTGTAACTGTTTCATTCTGCAATAATTCTGCCTTTGCTTTTACATTGCTTTTCTGTGTCTTTTTTTTTTTGGTACTGGGGATCAAACCTTGTGCATGTGAGGCAGGGGGTAGCACCACTGAGCTAAATCCCCGGGGCCTGCTTTTCTGTGTCCTGACTTTCACCAGGAGGACAAGGGCCAAGGAATTGCGTAGTGACTGCCCTAACCCTGAAGGAGGACCTGGTCCTAACTGATCGCATTCTGGCCCCTGCCTGTTCTCTCTCCTCTCCAGCTCCCCCTCAGTCCCAGGAAGGAGCCCTTCGGGTGTCACCTTCCTGGCTCCAGCAGGACCTCCAGAGGCAGGCCCCAGGTCAGACTTCCGGCCCAGTTTCTGTTTTTCAGTCTGTGCAACCCTAGCACCACTGTCAGCTCCTGGAGAGGGGCCTCGGGTTCTTGTCCCTCTGGTCCCGGTTCCAGGGCTGCCGTACTGGATTAGTTCACTTCCTGTGTTCACCACCACTTGGCGGGCAGCCAAGCCTGGTCTGCTGGATCCCCAGAGTGGGGCCTCTGGCCTGGGACTTTGGTAACAAAATGTCCTTGTATGAGGCCTTGCCAAAAAAAGGTTGCGATTTTGTTTACTTATTTTGTTGATGGTTTCTGGGCTTATTACAGTTTGTGGTCAGCTTTTTGGTTTCCTAAAAAAATACAGAAATATTTAATGAGATATTTGGCTTTACAGAAATGGAAGGAAATAGCCTTCCAGGCTTATGTGCATACCAGAGGGCAGTCATTGCTGCTGGGCAGAGAAAAGAAGTAAAAACACTGTCACACTCTGAACTCATATTCTCAAAGTGTGGGACAAGGGGAATGCCCCTTTCTAATCTGGAATTTCTTTGAGGGTGAAGTACAGACTAAGGTGACACTAAGATAGAAATTTGTACTTTTATATGGTTGATGTTGTGAAAGAAAAAATTTTCAACAAATTTAATTTAAAAATCAAAACTTCTATTATTGGCAGGTTATGAATTGGGTTTCATTCTATCTGTGAAACAGAGGTGCTCCAGCGAAGTGAGCAGAGCAGGTAGGGTTTATAGGCAGAAAAGGCGAAGGAAATTGGTTATTTCTAAATTACTTTCCTTTTGTGGTTCACGCATGGTGGCTTGGGTAGTTGGGCCCCTTTCTATTGATTACTATGAATCTCTTGTGTTCTGTTTCTTTGTTTAACTGGATGGACCTTGTTAAAGTTCAGTTTGATTATTTAGCATAAGAAACTATTCTGATTTGCTCTGGTCTGCTGGGGCTAGGACAAGGAGCAGGTCAGTTTCAAACAGTGAACTCTCATAAATTTTATGTAGTAATGCTATGTTGTATAGATAATGGCAAAGACTTTTGTAGTGAAAAAATTTATTTTTGAAATAAGGTTCCTTCAGAATGCAAAAAAAAAAAAAAAAGTAGCACAGAAAAGCAATCAAGTGAAACAAGATTTTCTCAATTTCTTTACTGGGAGGATAAGTAAGTTTTACTTCATGAGTTCAGATTACTGCCATGTCGTAAACCATGAGCACAAGTTGTGCTCTGTATCTAGATGATTCCCCTAAGCCTCCTGTGACTGGAGGCAGGGCTTGTGGAAGGTGGTTTGATTATGGGGCTGCAGTCAGTCTGAGGTTAGGAGGAAGCCGTGGGACCCTGAGGCTGGCCTGGGAGGGGCCATCCCCCTCCTGCGGCTCCCATCATGCTGCTTCCTGGCTGACTCCATGTGAGCAGCTTCCTCAGCCCAGAGCCTTCTGCCAGGCAGGGACTATGCAGGGACCCAAACTTCCACAATGGGAGCCAAAATCAGCCTCTCCCCCTTTAGGTTGTGGAAGTTGTGTATCGTCTTAGTTTTTTTTTCTCTTGTTGCTGAGACAAAATACCCGACACTCAAAGTTAAAGGGGGAAAGAGTTTATTTAGCTCATAGTTTGTAGAGGTTTTAATCCATAATTGACTGGTTCCAAGGCAGAGTGGCACATGGCAGAGGAGAAACAGTTCACAGCACCCAAAAGGTAGCAAAAGCAACAAAGAACCTTAAAAGCATCTTTCTGCCCTTAATATCTTATCCAGACTACCAGGATTAGGGTGGTGCCAAACCAGTCAGTGGGCTGATTGCCTAATCACACGCCCTGGATCCCGACATCACACACTCTAGATTCAGCCACTTTTGAAAAAGCCACCTAGACCACGTGAGGCTTTGGGGAGACATCTAGACACAAGCTATAACAGGGATCTTGGCTCAGTGATAAGGAGAGTGACTAAAATGAGTGGTCATGAGGTAGGATAGAAGAAATAAAGATAAATGGAAAGGAGAGAGGGAAAATGATAACTAAAAAATTGAACCTGAAGGGCATAACACTGAGTTACAACAACTCATTCCATACTTTTCTACTAAAAATTTGTATTTTAGCATAACAGTAGCCTGCTGTGCATCTCAGTAGCTGTGCCTGAGGTATACAGGAAGCCATCTTTGTGTTTACCCACTTGGTATGATGAATGGTAAGATGTGTGCATGTGTGCAAAAGTGTCAAACCGGGATTTTTTACCCACACAATGCTCCATCTAACAAGTTTTGCATATGTTTATCTCAGCATCACAGGAGGTAAAATACACCCACACCACTTTTCTGTTATGAGAACATGTATTTTATCATAATAGAATATGGGTGGGACTCACAGTAGCTGCACCTGAGGAAAGCAAAACCCCATCTGTGCATTCACCCACTTGGCAGATGAACAACAAGCTGTGTGCAGGAGCTCCAAAGCAGCAACAGGTGAGAGCAACCCATGAAATGGTGCTCATTGCTAAATTTCTGTGCATTTAGAATTTGTTTTTAAAAAAGTTTTCTTTTGATTTTTCTTGGTAGAAGTAGCCCAATTCAGTACAATGGCACATGAAAAACCAGATTTGTAAATTTTGGAGGAGGTCAAAAGTGAGTCATCAGATTACTCATGCATGCATAATGAAGATGATGACTTTGATGTTGGCCATGTGAGCCAAAGTTCCTGTGACAGTGAAATGAAGCAAGAATTGACTGATGCAGACCTAGAATGAAGACCTCCTTGATACAGATGACAAAGAAAACAGTAATGTGAGTGCATATTTGACTCGTTGAAATGTTGTAAAATGGCCACACAACCAAATGGAATGATCCTATGTTAGAACTAGGTCTGAAAATATAGTCAGGATCTTGGCAGGGGTGACACCTATTGGACAGAATGCCAGCACTGTCTTTCAGTGTTGAAAACCATAACAGACAAAATGCTACAAGATGCTGTGAAATTCACAAAGGCTGCAATACAAGTAAAATGTTCTGTATGCACCAATAGCCATATTAAAAAATGTATTAATTATTTATTAAATGTATTTATTACCTCACTAGCTGAACTAAAAGCATTCATAGGTCTGCTGTACTTAGCAGGGATTTCTCATGCTAATTGCAGGAATGTAAAAGACTTAGAGAAAAGTGATGTTTCAAAATATGGCATAAAAATTTATGCCCTTATAGATGCAAAGAGTTATTATGCTTTCAATTTAGAAATTTATCCTGGAACTCAGCCATCAGGTCCTTATTCATATAGTAATAAACAGAATGATGTTGTGAAAAGACTTGTTGATCCCATCTTCCAAAATAATTGGCATGTGACATTCCACAATAGGTTTACCAGTTTCCAATTGATGTTACATTTGCTGACACAGCACAAGTTGAACAGCATAGGAACTGTACTCAGGAACAAAGCAGAAATTCCAAATGAAGTGTTGCAATTTCAGAACAGAATTATATAGTACAATCTTTGGATTTCAGAAAGATTTACATTGGCCTCATATATGGCAAAGAAAAGCAAACTTACTGCTGATGTCAACACTGCACCATGGTGGAAATATTGATAGGGAAACCTTGACAAAACAGAAGCCTAAGATGGACACTTTCTACAACAAAACTAAAGGTGGAGGAGATGTTGATGAGTTATACAGCAAAAAATGATGTTACTAGAAACATAAAGCGTTGGCCATTGGCCAATGGTTGTGTTTTACTCATTCCTAAACATGTGTGGCATGAATAGTTTGATAGTTTACAAAGAAAATAACAAGTGCAAAATACCATGGATAAATTTTCTTACAGGATTGGGACTGGAACTCATAAGAAATTTACAGCAGAGGAAAAACAAAATGTTTCTTTCCAGGGAACTATGCAAAAAAATTGCAGAGCATACTGTTGAGCTGACAGGTGAACAGGCAGGCACACCATCACGAAGACCTACTGTGACAACAGGAAAACCAAAAGGATGTCAACTGTGCCCTACAGGAAAAGACAGGAAAATAGAACATGCATGCTATCTGTATAAACAATACTTGTGTATGGAGCATACAGGTCTCATGTGAGAGGACTGCCTTGGATGTGAAAGTGGAAAAGAGATTATTTCTGTGGGAGACTTTTGTTTGTATTTAGACTGTAGTTCACATAGGTTTTTATTTCTGATGTTATCTTTTAGTTTTGTTTTTTTTTGTACCAGGGATTAAACTCAAGACCTTGCACTTGCAAGGCAGGCAGCAGCACCACTGAGCTAAATCCCCAGCCCCTGATATTTTAGGTTTTGTAAGCAAGTACACAGCTGATGTGAAAATGTTGATGTCTATTCTAAGCACTCATTACATATTTGATATTTTATTTTATTGATATCTTATTTTCCTGCTAAGTACACATTGTACAATATAGTAGGTAGCTCCTGACAAACCAGGAGGAGAGGTGACAAGAATGGCTTACCACATAGAAAAGGAAAGCTCAGCAACTGTGCTGTCAGTGTACGTGAGATATGTACATGGAACACGCAGTTGTCATGTGTGAAGACTGTCTTGAGTGTGACAATTGAAGCAAAGATTTATTTTTGTTTAGGGTTCTATTGGTATTTTTTTCTTTGTATATTCTTTCATTGGTGCATTTTAGGTGTACAATACAATCACATTCATCACGGGAAATCTGCACCTTTACATAGTCTCTCTTGGTCCTTATTTTTCCCCTTCCCCTGCCCTCCCTTCAACCCGTCCATCCCTCCCTACTTACAGAGACTTTGTTTGCTTTCTTTCCTTTTCTCATATGAATTCCATTCCCTTCTTTCCTTTCCCCTACCCCTCCCACGTCCCCTTCACCTTTGCCCCTTTTCTTCCTATTTCAATTATCTATTATACCTTTTAGTTCTATGTGTGTGGACTACCTTAGGTGTGATAATTGAAATAAAGTTTTTTTGTAGAGTGCTATTGGTATTTTCATTGTAGCTCATGTAGTTATTTATGTCTGTTGTTCTTTTTTAGACTTTGTACACCAAAAAACAGTCAATGTTGAAAGTTTTGACACTTTTAAATAAGCAATAACTATTAAAAATTCAATACTTTATTTTTTCATTTTTTCCTGTTAAGTACTTATTGTTTAATATGAAAAACTCAAAATTCAAGTTAATAATCCATCAGTGGAAATACCCTAAGGAACAAAGGTGAGTACTGCACACCCACTGGCCTTATGCGGCGGGCAGCCTGCTTTGCTTCCCCGACCTTGTCCTGGAGGCGCGGCCTGCTCAGCCTTTACGCTTGGCTTTCTGTGCGTCCTGTTAGCTACTTTTTCTGGTTTCCTGGTACAAGGCCCAAGGGCCACCTGGTGCCTTTCTTTATCTGCCTTTTCTCTTTTTCTACCCTTGTCCTTGACCTGCTTTCCAGGAAAATTTTTAAAGTCAATCTGTTATTAACTCTTCTAGTCAGGATTAGCTAGAAGACCCCACAAGGCCCCCTCTCTGTTCTCGTCTACACAGCTCCACCCTTACAGACGGGGGCGGGGAGAGAAAAGAAAGCATCACTCAGTGTTTGGCCCACTGAAGACTTGGCGGCTTTAGAATCTGCATTTTAGCAAGACCTCCAGTTGATTTCGTGTACAAATTTGAACTTTACAGAGACAACTCAACACAGTCCTTCACCTTTCCCTTGGTTAAATTTAAGGCTATTTTAAAACTAATCTTCTGGCAACGAACCGGCGGAGCAGTCAGTAATTTACAACTCCGTGGTTCCCTCAGCCTCCGGTGGTAGGCGGGGCCTGGCGGTGGCCGTGCCCGGAGACCGGAGGGCGTGCCCCGGCCACCGGAGGGCGTGCCCCGGCCACAGCAGCAAAGTGTGCTGGGGAGTGAGGTGGCCGGTCGCGCTGGAACTCTTAGCAGCTTCTTAAAACACAGAAAGCACAAGCACACCCGCCCGCAGGTGCCTTTCGGGGCGTTTATCCCGTAGAAGTGAGTAGTGGGATGTGGAGGCAGCAACTGAACGCCCAACTGCTCCTCGGTGAGTGCGAGTCGCACGCGCGGTGAATTCACGGACACAGAGACTACGGGGCAGGAAAAGGCACGAAACAGCCACGCACTCAACAAACCGAAAGGATCCGAAGCAGCGCGCACGCCCACTCCCGGCCGAGCCCTGTCGCTGCGGCGCCTGCGCGAGCTCCGCGTGGCACGCGTGGCCGTGGCCAAGGCAGCGTGGGTCTTCTGTCGCCGTCCCGGTCGCCGCGGACCCGACCCCGCCTCCAGCGCTCCGACCCGGCCACGCCGAGCAAACCCTGCCTGACAGCACCCGGCGTGGAGCGTCGCAGCAGGGCGCACAGACGCGCGCGCAGCGCCGAGCGCTTGCTTGATTCGCTTTATTACTGTGTGCCGGTGGCACACGTGACTGCATTCACCCGGGGGCTCCCGCAATGTGGCAAGGCATACGCGTGCAAACTTGAGGTCCAGGGCCCACGGGTCTCTGTGGCTCTTGATAACGGCGCGTGAGCCTGCACTTACCCACGAGGAGCAAATCAACCAAAACCACGCAGCCTTGAGAAGCAGCCGAATCTCAGGTCTCAGGGAGGGGGTGGGAGAGACCCAAGAGGAACACGGAAGGAAGAGCGGCCGAGCCTAGCACCCCGGCAGCGAGTCGTCCACGGAAGTCGGTGATAGGCGGAAGCGGAGCCCACGCAGTCCCTGCGGCTTGGGTGGCTTCGGGAGGGACGCGGAGGCAGGCGTCCCCTGGGCTCTGCCCACGTGTGAGAGACCGCAGGACCCACGCGGGCCCGAGATGGAGCCTGGTCCCGGCGCTGGGCTGGGTTCAGGCCACGCGCAGGAGGAGGCGGCCAGGCTGGGGACGCGAGCGCGCGGGAAGGGCCGAATCTGCGGGGCCGCAGCCGTTACTCGCTCCCCTCACCTCAGAACAGCTGTGCTGTCGGGCAGTCCTATTCCGCCTCCCTTACGAATGAGGAACGAGGGCCCCTTTCTTCGGGTCGCGGGAGTGTTTCCATATTTGTAGAAAGAAAATTAAGAAAGAAAAATACCAAGAAACTTAAAAAAAAAAAATTCCGAAGAAAAATGCCTGCCGAAACCCGGGATCGAACCAGGGACCTTTAGATCTTCAGTCTAACGCTCTCCCAACTGAGCTATTTCGGCTCCGCCCCCGAGCCTCCGCGTGAGGCCTATGACATCTACGCTGGGTTTCTGGGCGAGTGGGCGTTCACTAAATGACTAACACCACGCGTACTGTGAAAGAACCTGCGGTAAGGAATGGATTCTGTTTTCAAGCGGTTGGCTGTTTCCTGAGGAGAAAGGCAAAGAGGACTCTGAATTACAGTCACAAAAATGGCAGCTCTGGCGAGGTTCAAGCGGTTTTTTTGGGCTCAACGCGCTGAGCATGGGCGCCACTCTCTTCTCATAAGCATACACAAAGTCGTTTGTAGCATCTTCCCTGGTGGTCTAGTGGTTAGGATTCGGCGCTCTCACCGCCGCGGCCCGGGTTCGATTCCCGGTCAGGGAACTCGTCACTTTTACCTCGCGTGCGCTCTAAATTGTGTGCAAACCAGCTTTTTTCTTTTTTTGGGTTTTTGAGGCAGAGTCTTGGTAGTTCAGGCTGGCTGTGAACTCCGTATGTACTCCGGGCCTCCAACTCGAGGTGATTCCGCTGCCTCAGCCTCCCCGAGTGTTGGGATTACAGACTTGCGCCACGGCGCCGGGCTCGCTTTTCATTTTCCTAGCAGGGCTTTCCTTCTAAAACCTGGGTCCACATTTGGTATCCCAAATACAAGACTCCAGGGTCTGCAATGAACAGTAGGTCTTAAGAATTTGGGGAGTATCGGATCCGCTGTAGGCGGGCGCCTGGCACTAGGCCAAGCGTGCGGAGGCGGCTCAAGCTCAGCAGGAGCCGGCTGGGCGGGAACTGCGGGGAGGGGTCCTCTGCAGTGCAACCCTAACAGTCCAGGCCGAGCCCCACCGGAGCCCCGCAGGGCCGTGAACGGTCGTCCAGCAGCCTAGAGCGCCCGCTGTCGGCGGTACGAGGCAGAGCGGGTCCGAGTCGCCCCAGCTGGAGAGCAGGGGGCGTGGCCCACGTACCTCCCCTGAGCATGCGCGGCAAGCACTCCGCCGGGTGGCAGCCCCGCCCACTCCTGGTCGTGCGCGAGACCGACCGGTCCGCGCCCGGCCGCGCCATATGTGCCGAGCTGCTCCCGCCCCTTCTCCACAGGACACAGCCATAGGGAGCCCCTAGGGCTGGGCACCAGGCTGCGCCTTGGGCCCTGACCTGCTGCTCAGCGAAAGCATGGTTCTTGTGGGCCAGCCTGCGACTTCACTTGGCCCGCAGATGCCCAGAGGGCAAACGGAAGCAGAGCGAAGCTTGGCCTTCGTTTGTGTCCTTTGTTACCGGAAACCTGGGGTCGCGTCTCCTGTTGGCTTTGCGTGGCGCTTGATGACCCTTCAGGGACCGCCTGTCTAGGAGTTGGCACAAGGCTGGGCCCTAAATGTACACAATTTCACCCTTCAGGACGAGGACACCAGGATGGGCTCTCCGCCTGAAGTCTCCAGCTGCCCGCCGGCACCGTTAAGGCCTGGATCCCAGGAGAGGCGGAGCCCACCTGCCCGGGCCTCCGCAGACCGGATCGGTCCGGCCTTTCCCGGGATGAGACAGCCCGCAGCCCGGAGAGCCCGATCCCAGACACCAGGACCGAGGCACGGACGAGTGGATCCCGCCCGCCCGCTGGTCGTGAAGCGGCGTCGGCCTCTGCGGTGGGCGAGTCTGAGCCCTTGCAGCAGAGCGCGCCCAGCTGCCTAAGCCGGAGCCTTCCTGGCTCCCCTACCTTCCCACTAGAGCGTTTTCCTCTAAATCTGTGCTTCAGTTTTGATTTCCGTGACTGAGAGTCAGGACCCGCGCGAGCTGGTGACACGTTTCCTGGTCCCATCCCGGCTCCTTTGGGATCTCAGGCTCCCCAGCCGTGTGGCCGCGTTCTGCAGCCAGGACATTTATAACCGTGATGTGCATCTCGTTTCCTGCAGGTTCTGGGCACCCGCGGGTCCTCCTGGAAACAGGGGCCCTGCAGGCCAGTGTCCAGGGCACGCGGTGTCCACAGAGTCCGGATACGTCTTCACTTTTCTGCCTCTCCGAGAAAGTCACCTCTGGATCGGTGCCCTTGGTGCGCCAAGGTGAAGCCAGAGGCGCTGAGACAGAGGGAGGCCGGGCCGAGCTCTGCGAGCGAAGCGGTCATAGCTCTGCGGCGCCCGCCGGCCCTCGGAGACCGGCGCGGGGCGGAGGAGCCGGGCCTGCCCGGAAGAGGCGACCAGAGAGGGCGCTGCAGGCGGAGAGCAGACCCGCGCGGCGCGGGAGGCCTCCGGGCCCGGGGGGGGGGCGGCGGGGGGGGGGGGGGGGCGGCGACGGGGGCCGCGTTGAGAGCGCCTGCGTTCTTGGGCGCCCTAGGCGGCTTCCCCAGGAAACAGCGTCTGCTGATTGCTGAAAGTAGGGAGGCGCAGGGTGGAGGGCCGCGCGTCCCCCGCGTGGAGAGCACCACCGTGGGGCCGCGCGGCGCTCGCGTTATGGCGGGGTAGGGACGCTGCGCGTGGCGCGGCCTGGTGGGCGCGGGAGGACTGAGGGCCTGGCTT